ACAGACAGACAGACAAAATTTCGACCGACTGTCCTCCAATCCTCCCCTCCACTTCGTTACGGGGGGATTTACGGTCATATTAAAGTAACAATATGAAGGATTGGTATCTGGACGTGCCCTAGCATGGGTACTTGCCGGTTATCTGCTACCTCCACATTCAATGCGTAGCTAGATCCCACCGTGTCTGTACTGCACTGTCGTGTCATTCACATTGTAAGAATAAGAATGTCTGGCTCCCCTGACTGCGCCTTAAGTGCCAGTACTGCAATTTGCCATCTGGAACCAACTAGCGACCTCTCTGGTCTAGACTCTCATTTTAGGTAGCGCTTAGCATAGATGTCCGCCGAGGACGCTGCGCGCGCATACATGGTGATGGACGCCGGTAGTGAAAGGGACTTACCTCACATTGTTGATGGCAACCGCCTCCCTCCATCCCCCTCATGTTGAGGAAGCAGACTGGCGGACATTGCGGCCGGATATCCTCTTTATCAAGGGGCTGAAGCCCATAGCAGCAGGTGCAAGCGACCCAGGGACCCCGCTGCATACGGTATCTACATCCTAGAAAAAACACATGTGACTTCCACCATGCTGAAAAGCAGCATCAGAAAGCTGAGCAGCACGGTATCTACATTCTCGTTACTTTGGTGCCTGGGGCTGGACACTTGCATTTGCATAGGATATACACTCAGCAATATTTTTGGAGCATCCAAAATAACATACAATTTGTGATTATTTCAGCCCTTTATACAATCTCTGATGGGAACTCTTGTACAGCCTTTCACATCGTAGCCTTGCACCAACACCCTTTCCTACCCAATTCCCTTGCTTTTGGCACATGGAAGTACCATGTACACTACATTACTAAGCTTTGAAGAGATGGGCTGGAATGCGCAAATGTAATGGCGGTTTAGAATGCTTAGGATACTTTGCCGGGGTGTCACTTAGGGTGTTCCCTTGCTTCCCTGGCTTGGGCCTCGCGTAGCAACCATGTAGGACACTACGCCTCTCTAGCTCAGTGGTAGAGCGCAAGGCTTTTAAGAAAGCAGATCGCAAACAGAATGCAACCTTGTGGTCGTGGGTTCGACCCCCACGAGAGGCGCTTTTGCACACTACTATGGTGTCTGCGATTACAATTTACGATTTTTGTAGTCCAGGGGGTAGAGAGAAAGTGTGCAGCAATGTGATGCACCCTGCCCCAAATGCTTTATTAATTACGATGGGATTCCTAAATGCTTTCAGATATGTAACTGGAGTTGCACTGAAACATTATGTGCCGGCATGCATGTCCCAGTCGCATTTTCCTTTAATTTCCAGGCATGTTATTCTGCACCTTATACCTGGCAAGTGGAAGGAAGACACACACACACATATATATGTATATATGTTTATATATATGTATATCATTCATGCTGTATGTTTGCCGGCGGCAATAATGTGCTTATGAAAGACCCTAACTAGCCTGACGTACACAGTATGCATCGTGCGAGACCCTTTCTTAGCAAAACGCGACGTAAATATACCATAAATGACTGTATAAACACCATGTCTTATTGCCAGCATCCAGTGTTAGATATGGGTGGGGCAACCAAGAGGGAGAAGAGTCAAGCATGCAGGTGCAGGGGTGTGCACGAACGGAGTAGCGGGCCTCTCATACGACGAGTTCGTTAGTTTGTTAAGATGCCTTCCGGCTTCTCCACCTGGAGCACTGAACTTTTCTGTGGCGGTAAGGGGTAGCGAGCGCCCTATGTATGTAATCTACCTCGAGTAATTCCTTCGGGCCTACACTCAGGGCATAACGGAAAATATTCCTCTGCATCCGGGAACGGCTGTTGACCTTGGGTTTCCCGGCAACGGGTCCACCGACCCGGCGCCTTCGTGGGGGCTGGACTTTCCCGTTCTGGGACCGGGCTTGCAGCCTGTTACGGAGGTCGGTAGGCCTTTGGCATACTGTTTCAGGTTCGGCCTGTGCTGCGGGCCTTTCTTACTCGTTGCAGCGCTGCGCAGGTGTATCCCGGGGCAGTGCTCAACTACCCTGGGGCCATCATGTCGGAAGACGCATTACTTGGGCGGCTGGGTCGAGGAGCTGCTGCGTGTCCACTGGGATTGCTGGGCCCACTGTCGGCCCCCGCCGTAAGCCCGGGGTTTTCCCCCCTGCACCCTTTTCCTGACGTCTTAGCATGCTGTTTGGCAAAAAACAGGTCAGAACCCCTCCCCGCCTGCCTAGCCTAATTCCTCTTGCTTGGCACGGGTAAAACCAAAACTTTGACAGAAGCAGGGTTCGAACCTGCGCCCTTTCGGACTGCGGGGTTTAGGAACCTAAACACAGCGCCTTAGACCACTCGGCCATTCTGCCATGTCTGAAAGCGGCCATATGTTTCTTACATATCCGAAACTTAAGTTAACATGGCGGGGCACGCCTGGGGGGGGCCGTCGCAACTTGTGTGGGGCGTGGTGTAGAGTTTGGGTGTGATTTGGGTTTTGCGTGTTTCGTCCCTTGTTTGGTTTCCTTTGGGCATGTGTTCGATGAAGCGATTACTGTGGGAGTGCTTGCATGCATGCGTGCCTGAGTTGCACATGGGGTGAGGGGCGCGTAAAGCTGGAGTGCATGCATGCGTGTGCGGGTTGCACGGGACGAGGGGGCGAGTAAAGCGGGGGTGCTTGCATTCGTGTGTGGGTTGCAGGTTGTGAGGCGGTGAGTAAAGCTGTGGGGCTTGAAGGCGTGCATGTATGGGTTGCATGGGGCGTGCGTGTGTGGGTTGCTCGGGACGAGGGGGCACGTGAAGCAGGATGCATGGGGCGAGTAATGTGGGAGTGCTCATGCGTTCGGCTGCATGTGTCGAGAGGGCGCTTGAAGCGGGAATGTTGAGCGTGTGTGGGCCGCACGGGATGAGGGGGCATGTACTGTCAGAGTGCTGGCATGCGTGTGTGCGTGGGATGCATGGGGTGAATAGGCGAGTAAAGCGTGCATGCGTGTGGGGGCTACAAGGGGACGTGTAATGTGGGAGTGCTTGCATGCATGCGTGTCTGAGTTGCATGGGGCGAGGGGGCACTTGAAGAGGGGGTGCGTGCAAGCGTTCGTGGGTTGCACGGGACGAGGGGGCGAGTATTGTGAGAGTGCTGGCTTGCGCACGTGCGTGGGTTGCATGGGGTGAAAAGACGTGTGAAGCGGGAGTGCGTGCATGCGTGTGGGGGCTACAAGGGGCGCGGGGACGTGTAATGTGGGAGTGCTTCCATGCGTTTGGGTTTGAATTGCATGGGGCAATGGGGCGACTAATGTGGGAGTGCTTGCATGCATGCGTGTCTGAGTTGCATGGGGTGATGGGGTGTGTGAAGCAGGATTGCGTGCATGTGTATGCAGGTTGCACGGGGCAAGGGGACGATTATTGTTGGAGTGCTTGCATGCCTTCGTGCTCGGGTTGCATTGAGTGAGGGGACGAGTTGAGCGAGGGTGCTTGCATGCGTGTGTGGGCGGATTGGGGCGAGAGGGCGCTTTAAGCTGGAATGTGTGTGTGGGCTACAGGTGGTGAGGGGGTGAGTAAAGCGGGCTTGCTTTCATGTGTTGAGAAAACTGGCCGCGAGTAGGAACGTGCTTGCATGGGTGCGTATGTTGGTTGCATGGGGTGAGGGGGCGAGTACGGGGGTACTTGCATGCATGTGTGGGCTGCATGGGGAGGGAGGTGGGTAGTAAGAATGCGTGCATGTGTGTGTGGGGGGGGGGGGGGTTGCATCGGTTGAGGAGACCAGTTAGCTGGGGTGCTGTCCCGAGCACGACGTCCCTCTCAATCACCCTGCCACTCGCTGTCCCTAATCTACAAGGCGCTCCTGATGGATAGGACCCTCCTTCGGACGCGGCCAGCAATAAACAAGATGCTGCACCGCAGAAGGGTGCAAGGGAATGGGCGGGGGAGAGGGGCGGAGGCTGGGGCGGGGCGGCAGTGTTTGTAAATGGCAAAGTAAGCGCGTGTTGGGGCGGGGAGGGGCGCACACTGATGGATAGGACTCTCCTTCGGCCGCGGCCAGCAATAAACAAGATGCTGCACCGCAGAAGGGTGCGAGGGCTGCGACACCAGCATGCTCACCTCGGGGCTGGGGCTCCTGCTGGGGGACCTGTGGTCGGCGCCTCTTCGCTCGGTTCCACTGCCGCCCGGCTTGCTTGGCAGCGCGAAGGGAGGCCTGCATGTATGGAAGCAGAGTGCGGGAATGGGCGGGGGAGAGGGGTGGAGGCCGGGGCGGGGCGGCAGCGTTTGTAAATGGCAAAGTAAGCGCGTGTTGGAGCGGGGAGGGGCGCACACTGATGGATAGGACACTCCTTCGGCCGCGGCCAGCAATAAACAAGATGCTGCACCGCAGAAGGGTGCGAGGGCTGCGACACCAGCATGCTCACCTCGGGGCTGGGGCTCCTAGCCTGCTGGGGGACCTGTGGTCGGCGCCGCTCTGTTTGGTTCGCTGCCGCCCGGCTTGCTTGGCAGCGCGAAGGGAGGCCTGCATGCATGGAAGCGGAGTGCGGGAATGGGCGGGGGAGAGGGGCGGAGGCTGGGGCGGGGTGGCAGCGTTTGTAAATGGCAAAGTAAGCGCGTGTTGGAGCGGGGAGGGGCGCACACTGATGGATAGGACCCTCCTTCGGCCGCGGCCAGCAATAAACAAGATGCTGCACCGCAGAAGGGTGCAATGGCTGCGACACCAGCATGCTCACCTCGGGGCTGGGGCTCCTAGCCTGCTGGGGGACCTGTGGTCGGCGCCTCTTCGCTCGGTTCCACTGCCGCCCGGCTCGGCAGCGCGAAGGGAGGTCTGCATGCATGGAAGCGGATTGAGGGAATGGGCGGGGAAGAGGGGTGGAGGCCGGGGCGGGGCGGCAGCGTTTGTAAATGGCAAAGTAAGCGCGTGTTGGAGCGGGGAGGGGCGCACACTGATGGATAGGACACTCCTTCGGCCGCGGCCAGCAATAAACAAGATGCTGCACCGCAGAAGGGTGCGAGGGCTGCGACACCAGCATGCTCACCTCAGAGCTGGGGATCCTGCTGGGGGACCCGTGGTCGGCGCCGCTCCGTTTGGTTCGCTGCCGCTCGGCTTGGCAGCGCGAAGGGAGGCCTGCATGCATGGAAGCGGAGTGCGGGAATGGGCGGGGGAGAGGGGCGGAGGCTGGGGCGGGGCGGCAGCGTTTGTAAATGGCAAAGTAAGCGCGTGTTGGAGCGGGGAGGGGCGCACACTGATGGATAGGACTCTTCTTCGGCCGCGGCCAGCAATAAACAAGATGCTGCACCGCAGAAGGGTGCGAGGGCTGCGACACCAGCATGCTCACCTCGGGGCTGGGGCTCCTGCTGGGGGACCTGTGGTCGGCGCCTCTTTGCTCGGTTCCACTGCCGCCCGGCTTGGCAGCGCGAAGGGAGGCCTGCATGCATGGAAGCGGAGTGCGGGAATGGGCGGGGGAGAGGGGCGGAGGCCGGGGCGGGGCGGCAGCGTTTGTAAATGGCAAAGTAAGCGCGTGTTGGAGCGGGGAGGGGCGCACACTGATGGATAGGACTCTCCTTCGGCCGCGGCCAGCAATAAACAAGATGCTGCACCGCAGAAGGGTGCGAGGGCTGCGACACCAGCATGCTCACCTCAGAGCTGGGGATCCTGCTGGGGGACCCGTGGTCGGCGCCGCTCCGTTTGGTTCGCTGCCGCCCGGCTTGGCAGCGCGAAGGGAGGCCTGCATGCATGGAAGCGGAGTGCGGGAATGGGCGGGGGAGAGGGGCGGAGGCTGGGGCGGGGCGGCAGCGTTTGTAAATGGCAAAGTAAGCGCGTGTTGGAGCGGGGAGGGGCGCACACTGATGGATAGGACACTCCTTCGGCCGCGGCCAGCAATAAACAAGATGCTGCACCGCAGAAGGGTGCGAGGGCTGCGACACCAGCATGCTCACCTCAGAGCTGGGGATCCTGCTGGGGGACCCGTGGTCGGCGCCGCTCCGTTTGGTTCCGCTGCCGCCCGGCTCGGCAGCGCGAAGGGAGGCCTGCATGCATGGAAGGGGAGTGCGGGAATGGGTGGGGGAGAGGGGCGGAGGCAGGGGCTGCTTCACCAGCGGAAATGCATTCACCCCCAATGTGACCAGGGAATCCTCATTGGGCTCCATATCCCATAAGCTTATATCTATATCTTCCTGCAAGGTTTGAAGTATCAATAGCCTCAATGGCGAAACAACACTTGTAACGGTCTTGATCTGGTAGGCTACATGCACTGGCATCTTAGCTCGAGTAGAGGACGCATGCTTACCTCCAGCATTACCCCATTTGAGAGTGTAGTACCCGTAGCCACGTCGACCGTGCCATGGCACATGTTTCCAGACCTCCAGTCGGTCCCAACGGTGGAGGTAGGCGCGTCCTAAGGGGGCGTGTAAAGGGGCGTACCTAGGTACCCATGCCTACAGTGGGTGGAAGGGATACGTTACAATGCATGCTCACCTGGTGGGCTGGGCTCGTGCATTGCTGTGAGTTTGCTGCTGCATGCAGACTGGGCAAGGTGTTGTTTGCGAGGAGGGTGCAGTTGCTGCGCCATGCATGCTGCTGGATGCACCACCCAATGTTTGCGCCCGAAGCGCCAGTGAAACCGTGGGAGTGAAGCGTCTGGTCTGGACACTACTGGCAGCCTGAGCTGTGTCGCTGCCTGCTGCGAGCACACCCTCCAGGTCCTGAAAGCAAGCATACAGCTTAAGCATACACCCTTGAACCGAGTGCCCTGGCTGCAACGTTTGCAAAGGTATTCTTAGCTCACCTTCTTCTTCTTGAGCCAGGGCTTCTGCAACCAGAAATAGTCGCCTACAGCGCCTATCTCGTGGCCCTTAGGCCTTGTCAGCTCTACAAGGTAACTAACAAAGAGGAGCTGAGCTGCTGGGGCGCGCTTCTCCTTCTCCTCCAAGTAGTTACCCACAAACACGTCACCGCCCTTGTGAAGAAACGACCTGAACGAGCTCAGAGAGCTGACGTGGGATCCTAGGAGCCCCAACAAGGAGCATTCCTGTAAAGCATGACGGGAGGAGCTTAGCAGACAGGACACACCCAGTGCTGCATTCCAGCAGACAGCTTGCCTTGTCGTCCACTGTTTTCAATTTCATGTTGTATAGGGCGCTCGGACTGGCATCGTCAGGAACATTTGCCTGCCAGCCATCGAATTGGAGCGTCGCTCCCCTCCTCTGAAGCGAGATAACAGCTACTGTGCGATATAGCTCAACACAGACCAAGCTTTTTTCCCTCGTATACTGTATCAGCGTCGCCTGAGCCCTAGAAGCAGCATTGCGAAAACGAGTAACACACAATTCGAACGATGAAGACTGAATATCAACTAAGTAAGATATGTAAAGTTCTTCTATTAGTTGCTTGCGTATATTACATGTCAACGTATCAGGGGTTCATTCTTTGTCGTTCGAATCAGAGGACACTGCATGAAGTTAACGTCCTGAGGCAACACACGATGTATGAAATTGGCAGAACTCTTAGATGCTTTTTTGGTGGAAGGCTCAATACGGCAGGTTGAGCTTGTACGGCGTAACTCGGGTGACGCAGTACAGGACTTTTCAAATGCAAGAACTAGAGGCTAGAGTATGCAATAAAAGCATTTCAACCTCGACTATAGATACTTCTTTCGTTGACGAATTCATGTAGTATGTCCAAATGCCGCGGCGCTTAGGTCAGACATGGGCATTGCCTGCCACAAGTGGGCCCGCCACTTCCGCTTGGCAGGCTTGGCTGCTGGCAGGCCTTGTGGTTTCCTGATATTTGCAGTAACAAGTAATGCAAATGCGGTAGCCGTGACAACTAAGTATTGCTTGTGTAAATGGAGTGGTCGATCGAAAGGCCGTGAAGCTCAGGTCAAACAGAATGGTTCGTAACCACCTCAAGAGAAATGGTTGCTACGATCCACGTTACAAAAGGATGGAAAGCAGCACCTCGGCTGAAGAGGTCCGAGCCCGTTGTTTTCAAATTTGTCATGGTAAGTACCAAACAACACCAGCATGCAACTTGCTATCGTTTCTTACATGCTTGCTCGCTCATTTGGCAAATGCGGTGGCCCAACATCTTCACGTAGACACTGCCATTGACTCCTTTGGCTCGCCCTGTCCTTATATTGGCTAGATATACTTGTATCCATGTGCATGTGACTCAATTATGACTTTCTAAATCAACAATGTATGTAAATATTCTCAGACCCAAGCTGGGCTTACAACTTAGGCTGCAACTTGCGGCTGGAGGGGGGGGCTGCGCCCCCCCCCCCTAACCCCCCCCCCTCCGTAGCGTCCAGCGTAATCGTGCAGCTGGCGACAAGCTAAGACCAGCCGCAGCCCGGCTTATTGGCCAACGAAAGGCTAATGTTGTAGCGTGCGTGCGGCTGGCTCGTTATCGCGCATCAGTTGGCGACAAGCAAAGACCCAAGCTGGGCTTACAACGTAGGCTGCAACTTGCGGCTGGAGGGGGGGGGGGCTGCGCCCCCCCCCTACCCCCCCCCCCCCCTTCTAGCGTCCAGCTTAATCGTGCAGCTGGGCTTATTAGCAGACGAAAGCTTGGTGCTTTAGCGTGCTTGCTGCTGGCACGCTATAGCGCCTTGGTTGGCGACAAGCAAAGACCAGCCGCAGCCCGGCTTATTGGCAAACGAAAGGCTGGTGTTTTAGCGTGCGTGCGGCTGGCACGTTATAGCCATCAGTTGGCGACAAGCAAAGACCCAAGCTGGGCTTACAACTTAGGCTGCAACTTGCGGCTGGAGGGGGGGGGCACGTTGCAGCCTGGTGTGTGCGCCCAACTCGTGTATGAGCTTGTCGCCAACAAATTCACTTTGACGTACAAGCCGCACGCACGCACGCTAAAGCACCATCTTCTCTCTTGCCAATAAGCTGGGCTGCGCACGTAAGTTGGGCGCTAGAAGGGGGGGGGGTTAGGGGGGGGGGGGGTTAGGGGGGGGGCGAAGCCCCCCCCCCCCCTCCAGCCGCATGTTGCAGCCTGGTGTGTGCGCCCATCTCGTGTCTGAGCATATTAACATACAATGTTGATGTAAAGAGTCGATAACGTAATTTGATAACGTAATTTGGTCGTTTGCGGCACGTATGGCAGTCAGTGTGAGACATCGTTGTCAATGCTGGACTGCAAGCAGAAGTGTGAATGCCGTACCAGAAAAGCGACATCAGACGTCGTCTTTTAGGAGGACATTGTTTGCCGAGTTATGCCAACAGCACAACCAGCTATGATACTCCTGCGAGTTTTTTTGTTACCTTCAAGGCTGTGGTAAAGCGAGGAGCGCATTCCTTTTTCCTTACACCCTTGCACTACTTAAGCCCACAACCTCAGGCATATCGTGTATCGTGTATCGTGATATTGTCCAGCCACCCCAACAATCAGAGAACTGAGAAGGGTGCACGCATCAGTCGGAAACTTGCGGCTGGGGGGGGGGGCTTTTTACCCCCCCATACCCCCCCCGGGCCCTTCACTGTCCTTTGCTTGTTGCCATTTCATTCGCTATGACGTACAAGCCGCACGCAGAATGGGCGAGTAGTGTGGCATTGCTTGCATGCATGCGTGTCTGAGTTGCATGGGGTGATGGGGTGTGTGAGGCGGGTGTGCGTGCATGCGTGTGTGGGTTGCACGGGACGAGGGGGCGTGTACTGTGAGAGTGCTGGCATGTGCACATGCGTAAGTTGCATGAGGCAAAGGGGCGTGTAAAGCGGGGGTGCCTGCATGCGTGTGGGGCTAAATGGGGCGAGAGGGCGCTATAAGCTGGAATGTGGGCATGTGTGTGTGTGGGTTGCAGGTGGTGAGGGGGTGAGTAAAGCGGGCTTGCTTGCATGTGTTGAGAAAACTGGCCGCGAGTAGGAACGTGCTTGCATGGGTGCGTATGTTGGTTGCATGGGGTGAGGGGGCGAGTACGGGGGTACTTGCATGCGTGTGGGAGCTGCATGGGGAAGGGGGGGGGGGGGTTAAAGCAAGAATGTGTGCATGTGTGGGGGGGTTGCATCGGTTGAGGAGCCCAGTTAGCTGGGGTGCTGTCCCGCGCACGACGTCCCTCTTAATCACCCTGCCGCTCACAGCCCTTTCCTCGATGTCCCTAATCTATAAGGCGCTCCTTGCACTCGTCCTTCCGCATGTACCGGTCCTCCCAAGGGCTTCCCAGCACACAGCGCGCCTCACACGTGCACTTACTCACACAGCGCCTCCAACTTGGTCTCTTCCACCTTATACGGCCAACTGGCTTCTGACAGCGTAACAATGCTAACGTATTTCTTTAAATGTTTCGCTGGACATACTTGTATCAGTGACTCCATCCCTGGGAGTCGGGCTGAATCGCACTCGCCTGTGGTGCTCTTCGTGGGCCTCCTACGTTACTTCGGCGCTACAAAGCAAGGTTACCGAATTTTGCAGCTTGATAACGTATTCTGGTCCTTTGCGACACGCATGGCAGTCAGTGTTAGACACCCTTGTCATTGCTGGACTGCAAGCAGCCACTTTAATCCATTATACCATTAGACTGTATAAATGCTATGTAAAACGCCTTTGTTTTTTATGTGGATGTAGTGGTTGTCGAAAGTACCTTTCGCATTGCGGTGTGTGAAGGTCTGGTTTGCCGTTCAATCGTCTGTACCCAAGCTATGGCGTGAATGTGAATACTTACCGTTCTCTTCTTCGGCCACTCAACATTGTCGCTGGAGTATAAGGGCAAGTAGTTAGAATGCCGTACTAGAAAAGCGACGTCAGACGTCGTCTTTTTGATGGGCAT